ATTTATCCAAGGGATACAGGTGTGCTGTTTTGAAGAGGCACATGCACCCCCATGTTTATAGCAGCACTATCAACAATAGCCAAAGTATGGAAAGAGCCCAAATATCCATCAGTCGATGAATGGATAAAGAAGATGTGGTATATATATATACAATGGAGTATTACTCAGCAATCAAAAAGAATGAAACCTTGCCATTTGCAACTACATGGATGAAACTAGAGGGTATTATGCTAAGCGAAATTAGTCAGTCAGAGAAAGACAAGTATCATATGACTTCACTCATATGAGGACTTTAAGATACAAAACAGATGAATATAAGGGAAGGGAAGCAAAAATAATAATATAAAAACAGGGAGGGGGACAAAACATAAGAGACTCTTAAATATGGAGAACAAACAGAGGGTTGCTAGAGCGTTGTGGGAGGGGCAATGGGCTAAATGGGTAAGGGGCATTAAGAAATCTGAAATCATTGTTACACCATATGCTAACTAACTTATATATAAATTAAAAAAATAAACTAAAAAATTATTTTAGAAAAGAAATAAAAAGAAATAAGTAAACATTAAAACAAAACAAAACAAAAAAATAATTGCAGATTTGAATCCAGTAAATCAAGCATAGGGCCTGAGATTCTGCATTACATCGGGCTCCCAGGTGAGACCCGTGCTGCTGCTGGTCCCAGGACCACACTTTGAGTACCAAGTTTCTAGATCAGTGGTTCTCACACTTGAGAGGCTCTTACCTAGAGGGCTTGTGAAGACAATCCCCAGAGTGTCTGATTTAGTAGGTACAGGGCCAGGCCTGAGAATTTGCATCTGACAAGTTCCCAAGTGATGCTGATGCTGGGAATCACACTGTGAGAACAGCTGGTCTGGACCATTAATACCAAAGGTATTCAGAGAGGCTACACATTTTTGCAAGATGATTCCACTAACATGGGCTCCTGTCTGTGCAGTTGCTCTTCTTAACTAGGAAAGCACAGTCCTTAGGAAAACTCATGGTATCTGTAGGGGTCCCACCCTGAACTTGGAGAGGCTTTCTCTGGTCACTCCCCAGCCCTCTCTGCCCCAACCCTACATCACAGTATCTTGTTTGATTTTCTTCAGAGCATTTATCATCATCTGAAATGGTCTTGTTGGAGTTGTTTTTTTTTTTTTTTTTTTTGCTCTATTGAGGTTTAATTTATGTATAATAAAGCACACAAGTCCTAAGAGTTGAGTTCGATGAGTTTTGACAAATGAATACACGGTATAGCCTATACCCCTATCAAGATCTAGAACATTCCACTACTCCAGAAAACTCTCCTGTGTTCCTTTCCAATCAGTTCCTATTTTGCCTTTTCCCATCCCTCAACCCCCAGCCCAGCACCCACCATTGTCTTTTATCATCACGGAAAATTTTTGCCTATTGTACTTCATATAAATGCCATCATGTAGTATGACTTGTTTCAATCTGACTCCTTTCCCTCAATGTAATGTTGGTGGGACTCCTCTATGCATTGCATGTACGAGCAGTGTGTTCCTTCTTTATTTATACTAGCTAGTACTTTATTGTATAAATATATCACTATTTCTCCGGGCACCTGTTGCTGGACATTTGGGTTGTTTCTGGGTTTTGGTACTTACAACTAAGGCTGTTGTGAACATTCATGTACAGATCTTTGTGTGTACCTAGGTTTTGTTTCTTTACCTGAGGGTGGGATTTCTGGATTATAGGATAGATGTGTGTTTAACTTTCTAAGAACTTTCCCAATAGTTCTGTAATGTGGTTGTACCATCTTGTACTCCTACCAGGGAAATAGGAGAGTCCCAGTTGCTTCTTCTCCTTGCCAACATTTGGAATTGCCAGGCTTTTAAAAATTTTTACCTATTCTGGGGGGTGTGTAGGTGTATCTCATTGTGGTTTAAATTTGTTTTTCTGATGACTAATGATGTTGCCTTGTTGGATTTTCTTATATTTTTGTCTTACGTATTATAATATACTTATATTCATGCCCTACTAGAATATAGGCTAAGTAGTAACTTTGTCTGTTTTGTTTACCAATATAAACCCACTGTCACAACAATATGTTTTCTTCAATATATATTTGATGAGTAAATAAATGAGGAATGCCAATATCAATTTCCTACGGGCTCCATAGGCAAAATGATGGCTAGCCCCCATTCTAGGAATGTAATTGGCAACTCTTTTTGAAAAGGGAACAGCATAAGCCTACTTTGTGTCTGGAACCAGGGCCCAAAATGATCAACTATAATTACAGTTGCCAAAACCTGACTGGCACCCAGAAGCAATGAGAGGTCATGGAGCCTCAAACTTAAAGGCCAAGTTAGTGCTGAGACAGAATTGTAGGAACGGGCTGAAAAAATAACCCAGACATAGGAGGTAACATGGAAACTTAAGTTAGGATAGCACAGGATCACCACTGGGGAATAGTCAGGGGCAGAGGAGTGAACTGTGCAGAGGGTCAAAACAAGAGTAAGTCAGCACCAAACCAGCACCAGCCTGTTTAAATTTTTTTTTTTT